AGAGGGAGGGGGCAGAGTGGGTGGTAAGGGAGGGGGTGGGGGCAGGGGGGAGAAATGACCCAAGCCTTGTATGCACATATGAATAATAAAACAATACAAAAAAAAAAGAAAATCTATCAGCATCCTATTTATCTGTGAGTTGAAAGAAAGGGAGGGGAAGAAAGCAGAAAGGAGAAGAGAGAAAGGGGACCCACACAGAAAGAAAATACCAGTTTAGGGTATTTCTTTTCATAACAGCTTCAAAGGAAAATTTCTATCATGAGTAAACTTAAATATTCTTGAAGTAGGCAAGGTAATCATTAAGACACAAGTCATTATATGTTATACATAAACAAAAATAGAATAATTCATAAAAAAATTCAACTATCCCAATTATGCTGTAGAGTTACCTGAATGACAACCACCCTGTGAATACACAGCCATGACAAAAAACATTTGCTCATGAGTGACATCAAAGTTCTCAAGTGGATATTAAGAAAGCAATAGTGACTGCAAATGATTCTTAAGACTGCACAGGAAATTGGTAACAATAGATGACAAACTTTGTAACCTGTGTCAGAGTACAAATCAATGTACAAATTAATGACAGACCTACAAAGATGGACTCCAAAAATACTAAAAAAAAAATAAATAAAAAATGGTGAGAGATGTAAAGAAAAATGATCTTTTCTATCAAAGTATTTGTTTCCCTGTTAGATTACTTGAAAATTCCTCAGGTCGCCATCTTAGGTGACTTGCATGTTTACAGGGTCCTTGCTTCTTCTTCCAGATTCCTGTACAACTCCACTGCCAGCCAAACTGCATGCCCTAACCTATCCCCCAAGCCTGTTAGCCAATCGAGGGAGACTGTGAACCTCTGACCTGGACAAATCCCAGGTGACAGGCAGGTACGACTTCGTCAGGGATGTAAGGAGAAGTCACTGTTAGCCATTTTGTGCATGTGTGTTGCTTAGCGGGAATGAGCACAGGTTTGCACCCTCTTGATCAAGAGAAATTGCCTTGTCAAGATTTTCTGTCTCTTGTGTGTCTGTTTTCGGCACCGGAGGGTTATCAATTCCAACAGGGGGGAAGTGGAATTCACTATCTTCCTACTTCCCATGAGTCAATTCAATTTCATAAAACCACATGCCAATTTCCAAATACTCAGCAAATGTTGCATTTATTACCAGTGTGCATGTGTGTCATATACACTACATGCTCACCAAACTATAATTACCTGCTTTTAAAAAGCCTCTAGCATGAAACACAGACTCCACTACCCTTTTCATACTTTCAAAAACCAAATAACTAGACAATAAACGGTTTGACATAACTTAAAAAAAAAAAAAGACCATAATAAGGTTTTAGTCCCATAGAAAAAAATTAGGGTGTCAAAAACATGTAGGGCAGATTCAAAGGCAGTGTGCATCCTGTAGCCACTCACCTTCTTCTCTAAGGCTACACCACATGTGTAACTTAGAAGGGGTAAGCATGCACACCACGAGGCATACACAGTGTTCATGACAAATAATTGTTCTCAAATATTTAGAAGAACATAATGAATTTTACTTAGTGCAAACATGGTTGAAATTTAAATTAAATTCATGGTTATCTTGCACTCCCTTCTTAAATAAATTTTAATAGAAATTAAGCAATAACAATAATTTCTCAACTCCAAACATTTTGACAAGAAAATAAATATAAAAGTATTTTCTTGTACAGCTTTATTGTTTTAGTTAACATAGAAAACCTCAGGTTCTCTATACAAAAGCAAATTAAGTACAGATCAACTATTTATGGGCATTACCATGACACCTTTTACTAACTACTCTTATCAATATATACCCAATCACCACACACTAGGTACTGACAGAAATACCTTACAAGCAGCTTTGTCATATTTTAAACTGATGTGCTGTCTTTGGGGTGATTTCTCATGACACAAATGTAAAGAACCCAGGAATAATTAAAGTACTAACAGGTGTGGCATCTCATCATTTATATCCTTTGTATAGTGTGAATTTCATTTTAGTTTCGATTCCTGTATAGATCACGTTGTTCTGTATCTCTACCAAAAGGCTACAAGCTAAGAAAATCTACTTTCAACTGCACAACACCTGCCTGCAAACAAAGCTAATCAGCCAAATAAAACCTTCCAACTGATGCCTGATCTATTCTACAACAGAGATAACTACAAATTAAACAGACCGATCCGAACTACAGAGCTCCTAAGAATTAAACCCAAACAATTAATGAGCCATTAAATAAATTTGAAATCTAGAACTTTCGCTTCCATGTTGTAATAAAACAAATAAAAACAATAGCTCTTTTTAAAAAAATTTAAATCATTACATTTCCAAATCAGCACATTAATGTCTTACTGGTAAACTTGATGGTCTTTCTTGTTGTATTAAGTTCAAGTCTTCATGGTTGGGTTTTCCAGGGGCCAGAGGAGGTTGAGATCTAGTTCCATAGCCTTCCTGAGACATATCCTAAACAAACACAAATACAAAGTCCTTCACAAATATCCCAATGAGTTTAAGCTTACTCAGTAACCAAAATGAAACAAAAGCTTTTATTACAAAGTATCAATCAATGCTACACATTTTAGCTAACACATAAATATGTGCCAAGTCTTGTTTCTTTAACACTTTGTCAAGATCCAACACAAAAATGAGCAATGAATTAATAGCAGAAATGCATAGAAAAAATTGAGAGCTGCACTTAGTTCACACAAACTGGGTTGTATTTGAGTTTTACAGTAGGAGGTCAGCTGTAGCCAAACTGTCTTTTAAATCAGAGCAAACCAAAAGCTCACTGTATTGCTTAATTCTGACTTTGGTTGTATTGTTTAATTTTGATTTTCATCAAATTGTCTTTATCAGCTGAATCTTAATACAACCTCTCAGTTATCCACAAAACAGCATAAATTGATATTAGACTCACAGTATCCTAGAGTTTCCTCAAAACCAATAAACACACCCATGTGCAGAAGTCCCCATGCTCATGTGGCATGGTTTTCAGAAAACCACAAAAAAAAGAATAAAAGAACAGCAGGACGCCAGTGGTTCATGCCTATAATCCTAGCTACTTGGGAGGCTGAGATCAGGAGGATGGTGGTTCCAGGCCAGCCCAGGCAAATAGTTTGTGAGACTCCATCTCTAAAATAACCAGAGTAAAATGGACTAGAGGTGTGGTTCAAACAATAGAGCACCTGCCTTGCAAGTGCAAAGCCCTAATTCAAATCCAGAGAGAGGAGGGGAGGGAAGGAAGAGGGAAGAACAGAGGGAGAGAGAGGAGGGGAGGGGAGGGACTTAGATGAAATGGACATTTACATGCTCTTTCCAGCATCCTGCAGATCATTCTTCCAGGATGCACTGCTTTAGTATTATGCCAAAATAATGTTATATATTCCAAATGCCACACCACTTTTACTGTACAGCAGTACAGTAATGTTAGATGCTCAGATACTAAGCATTCTATTATACCTGAAATAACAAAGCAGGCCAAATTTTTAAGGACTTACTATTGTATATCCCAATTGGCACTGAAAGTTGAAGGACTAGTTTCAAATTGGAGAGGAAAACATTGCCTTAAAATAAAATTTTCTCCCCTTCCCTGTCAGTTCAAATAGGGATTAAAGGAACATCATATACAAGTTCTATTTCTCCCATTGAATCCCTGAATATTACTTGGAAAATTAATGTTTGTTAGTAAGACCCTATAAAAAGTTTCTGCTACCTCACCCCTTTCTCACACAGTATACACTTACAATTACATGGCTTCTTAAGCCAAGAGCTGGTACTACAAAGTCTACAAGCTGCACAAACTAGATTTAACTAGCCAAACCTAGCCAAGTGTTGGTGCTGCCTTTAACAAGTTCCAAAATAAAGGAGCATGCCAATAATCCAGCATTTTCACATGCAGCCCTTACTCCTTTTAAAGAAATCAACACACACACGTCCGATATTTAACCTCTAATAGTAATGTAAAATACCCAGCCAGTCCTGTACTTTCATAGAATTCAATAGTGGTTGTCTGGGTTTTTATTTGGTAACCACAGTGAGGTGGGAGTAAACACATGCAACCCAATGACACTTGAAGGGGCAGCTCTTCATCTGGTTGTCAGTGGAGGGTAACAACTAGGCTTGTGGGGGACAAAGGCAAGGGCTGAAGGATTATTACCACTTTGTTCACCCTCCTCACAAACCATGTTTCTTACAGAGCCTAGGTTTGTACTTATAGCAGAGACTTCCTGCTGGGTGCCCTCAGTTCCTTGAGATTAACAGCCAGGATTTCAAATCAAATGGGGCACAAGGCCTCCATTCAGAGCCCATCGCCCTGTTATAGAGACAGCACAAAGGTGCAGGCCTCACAATGGGCAAGGAAGTGAGCAGACCCTCTGCACGTGGACATGGGCACAGTTTCTCAGGCAGAGCCTGGTCCTTTCTTTAGCAAACTTCAGTTAGGAAACAGGAATGGCTCTCATGCCCTATTAGCCTTTTACATTGCTATCTATTTTCTCTTCCTAGCTAAATGAACTGCTTTTTAAAGGAGCTGAAAAAGACACTGCAACTATAGCAAATATACGTGTCTAAAACAAGCAACACCAAACTAACATACTGAAAGCTACCAGAAAAATTTATTATGACTTCACATTTTATTTTTAAGGCTTTAAAAGTTCAAAATCATTAGATCCCACCAAAATCTCAAATGTGTTTCCTAACCACAAGAAGCTTTCAATTACTAAGTATAGTTGGAAATAACCAAACAAAATTTAGTGAGACTTGCTGAAAAGGGAACTTGTTCTGCCTTGGTTTATATTTGAGCGTAAAGACAGATTTCACCCAGAGAACAGACACGGGGAAAAGACATTGGGCTCTAATCTACAACAGCCATCACCTATATATAACATACAGAGGAATGATAATGTCTATGTTTGCCTGTTTTAATAAAGATATTAAAGTTATATCCCATAACAAACCTAAGCTTTTTCATCTTCAAAGCCATATTTTGACATATGCTCATTTTCAACTGAAGAGGACAAAATAAAACATAACAGAAAATAAACGCTTAACACTGCCTCTCTCTCTCTCTCTCCACACACACACACACACACACACACACACACACACACACACTCTCAGAAGTTGGGGGACACGGACAGCTTGGGGGTTGTATCCTCTTAAAACTTACTCTGAATAGTCATCTCTGAAGATTTTGCTGACGTGGCAGTTCTGTCCCTCGGCACAGGAGTGGCTTCCCCCAGAAAGCCAAGAGATTATTTTTAAAAAGGGGGCTCTTTCGCAGGTGCTCTAATATTTAGGTCTTCTAGGCTTCTGGCAAAAGGCAAATTCATGTCTTTGGCTAAGGCCTTCTGTTTAAACAAAGACAACATAACTTTAAAAGGTACCTAACTTCTGCTTAGTGACATTGTGAGTCTTCTTTCTGTAAAATAACTGACTCATTGATGTTTATTCTCTAATTGGTCTAACACCTGCTCCCTGATGTAGTCAGCTCTTAACTGCCCACTACGGTGACAGTCCAAAATAGAGGGCCATCTAAGAGTTAAAAATAGCTACAGATATAGCCTTCCTGCCACACCTGGCTGATGCTTCTATCATTGTTCATGTTCAGATGATGCCTTCTAAACCAGATTTATCCCTTCCAGAATGAAAGCCTTTAGAACCCATACCATAAGGCAACAAAGCTACAGATCTCTAAATACGAACACGATCTCCATGAGCAACCTTAATTGTAATGAACAATAATTCAGACACCTTGTTTCCACATGAATCCCCAGGGAAAGAAATAGGTGAGACAATTTCCCCCTGTAGATCAGGTCTGCTGCCCTCAAGGTGACGGACATACCTTTGCTTCTCCAATAACTATGCTTAAGAGACAACTGGCAGCTTTAAGCACTACTACATAGAAAGTGATGTAATAGAATTTTAACTTTTTAGGTATTATGTGGTCTTGTACATATTCTCTTAAACTCACTTTTTAAAAATAATAAGCTTAAGGACTTTATATATGGGACACGAAAACACTCAACTTCAATATCTATGAATAAATAATATTAAAATAAAATTTCCCTTTCCTAAATTTGAATGCAAGACCATTCTCCAGGCCACTCATTATCATCAAATGGTTGTTAAAGGCCCTCAGACTGATGCTGATGAAGAGTCCCATCCCCGATCAGATTGAGTTCTTAAAGGCTCTGCTGGCTCCTTTGTTTCTGCCAGCCCCTAAAAGCTAGTTTCCTCACATCCATTCCCCAAAGACTCCACACTGACCTCCTGCCTGACGATTCCATACTTCTAATTTTAGCCCCCTACCCCCTAACTGCACAATTAACATCTGGACCTTTAAGGAGAGCCCCTTTCGCCCTTCATATCTAAATACTACTTTCCTAACCTCTACCCCTGCAAACCTACTTCTTCCCCATCAGGTCTCACCTCCCAAATGGGAATCCTCACAGCCACCCACACATACCCATTACCTTTCTGCAACCATACATATGTGATGCATCCCCAAGCTCCAAGACCCACCTAGTCTGACCTTCTTTCTGCTAGACGTATAGCACCTATCTGCTGTTCTACAATCCTGCCCACTGTGCTGCCCCCAGTGTAGTCTTCCTCAATGCAAATGTTCTAAAAATGCTTCCTGGGTGCCTACAGAAACCAGTCCATCATCTGTGATTTGGAACAAAGCGCTCTTCACATCCTTCAACGGCACTCTGGCCTCTTCAGCTTTCAGAGGACCACTGCAAGTGCCTGGTGTCACGCGTCCAGGCTCCTAGTCCCACAGGGCCTCAGAGCTGCTATTTCTCCCTATACCTCAGCTGCCAACAAGTAGATGCCTTCTCCTGTGTTTGCAGAGCACCTCGTTGTCCTCCAGATTCTGCTAAAAGGGCTGGTAGAAGCTGAAGTGGTAGAGCACCTGCCTAGCAAGTGTAAGGTCCTGAGTTTAAACCTTAGTACCACACACACACACACACACACACAAAGATTCTGCTAAAAATGAATTCCTGGACCCACTAGGACAAACACCTTACAGCAACTTAGACGGGCCCTCTTGCAGAACTGGTTGTGCTGGGGAAATCCAGCTCCCTCATTTCTCCAGAAGAGGGCCACGCTCTCTAGGCTCCTCAGTGTCAGGTACTAACTATGGTTCAATAAAAGCCATGTGAAGCACTGGAAGAATGGCTTCTAAGAGTTCACACCCCAACACCAAAATAAATGCACAAGCACAAACACATACAACTGAACACAACTCGGGCTCATGTCCACGAATACTTATCATGTTAACAGCTACAATGCGTGGTGGCGATGTGTCACAAAACACATTTTGCTGTTTGTTACTAACAGTCTTAAGGAAAAAGGATGACTACAAAAGAATGCATTAAAAACGAACTAGAAATTAAGAGGAAGGAGAAAAAGACTGTGGAATGCAGAAATAATGCCATTGAAAAAAGGGGGTAAATCAAGAGTTCTGTGCCTCCCAACAAACAGACCAGCAATAAAAGTCTTCCAAAAAAAAAAATAAAAGAGCCTGAGAAGACCTATTAATCAAACTATCAATCTGTAAGAAACAACGACAACAAAAAGGTAAATCACAGTGAATTGATCAGTATATCTCATACTGTAGGAATCGCCACTAGAAAATAATTTGGTTTCTTTAATAAGATGCAACTGAATAAAAGAAAAGAAGAGAGGAAAGAGGGAGAGAAGAAAATGGAGCAAAATCCTAGAAATGAAGAAATTAAAAGCCAGTAATCAACAACTGAACTTTATTTGTATCACAATTCAAACTACTCCACAATCTAAATTAAATAAAACCACTTCTGCCATTTATAAGACTACTGGAAATCTGAATTACTGGGTAATTGATAGGAATAAATTAAAACTTTAAATGTAATAACTGCATTATGTTTAAGAGTCACTGATCTTTTAAAGGTAAGCACTGAAATATTTACTTAATAAATAATACATTATCTGGGATTCACTTAAAAATAGTGCCTGAGGTCTAGGGTGTAATGGACGTTTATGTTTGAAATTTTCTATTTAAATAAGAATGGAGTTGGTATGAAAGACTACTTTAGGAATCCAGAAGTGGAGCTAAGGCAGACTTGGGCTTTCATCTTAAAAAATACAACTTCCTAACCAATCTTCAACCTCCTCCTCCCCTAGTGAAAATACATTAATCATAGATATTTTACACTTTCAGCTTAACACCCCCCATTTTTATTTTTAATGTTTGTTGCACTATCTAATCCTGATGCTTCACTATTTTACAGTCAATCAATCAATAGGAAGAGGAGGAGGAAAATCCCTGAGTCTTAACCAAACTAGCCTTGTTATCAATTTCACTTTTCCTTAGGTCACTGAAGTGAAAGCTGCTCTTCTTGGTGGGCTAACAATCTTTGCTCAACCTCACCTCCTAGACTAAATCTGACATGCTGGCCCTTACATTAGCCTCATTTCTTAAAGGTCTGGTCTCCTGTTATTTAGTTTCTTTTAATTCAAAGGAGTAATTAATTATATTCCAGGTTTTTAAAAATCCACTGAAGAAAAAGGATAGGCCTGTACAGCTCTGTTTTGACACCTCTCACTGGTGAGTTTCAATAACATTCACAGCAGCTTCTTTAGGACAAAATGCCTGCCATTAACTTGAACATGTCCTGGCATGTGGCTCCACAGTCTGAAGCAACAGCCTTTCCCTAAGACTGCAGTAAACATGAATGTGAAGCAGAAAAGGAGGAACAGAGCCGTTACTCCTGAGGTAACCAAGTCAGAATCCTGGAGGCAGTGACAATGGAACTTAAGACTCAGGAAAAAACTCTTATTATGCTTCCCCTCCATTTTCACAAGAATTTCTTCCTAAACCACCAATGGGTCCAGAGGGCCAAAAATCACATTTGCTAAAATAGCAAAGGGAAACATGAAGATACTCAGGGCTACAGTAAATAAGATGTAGGGCTACAGTAAATAAGATTTTTAATGTCAATTTTTTACAATTTAAAATTTACAAAGCCAAATGAGCAATGGTAAACATTCAGCTCTTCGGATGGGAAAAAGTATTGTATATAAAAATGGTAACTCGTAAAAATCTATATAACATACAAGAATCTCAGTTCCATAACTTACTAACAAAAAATCTCTTTCTTCATCCATAAAACCAAAATAGAGGGGCTGCCTCCTAAGATAGAAGAAACTAACCTTGTATGAACGGTTCAATACACTGAGTTTAAGCAGTAGCACTATGCCTGGCAGAAATGTTCAGTTAATATATATGTTATCAAAATGTTAATTCAACAACTAGGACTTTATCTAGTGGCCATAATGCTGGATGGTAGTAGAGAGTAGCATCTAATAAGTACATAGCATTTACTATTTGCCAGGTATTCTTCTAAGTGTTCTATTCATTCAACACACTCTTTTGCTTTTCATATTGAACCCAGGAAATAAGTACAGTTGTCAGTATCTGTAGAGTATTTACTGGTTCCAGGACCCACCCGGTATGACAACCAAAATCCATAAATGCTCAAATTCTTTGTGTAAAATGGCATAGCACCTGTGCAGACTCTACATATATCCTCTTACATAATTTAAATCATCTCTAAATTACTTTAATACCAACTACAATACAAATGCTAGTAAATAACAGTAATACTGTACAGTTTAAGGAATCATGATAGGGACAAATGCCTACATGTGTTCAATATAGACACAATTTTATTTTCTAAGTATTTTTGATCTGAGGGTAATGGAATTCATAGCTACAGAGGGCCAACTGTCCTCTTTTGCTGATGAAGAAACTGAAATTGAACAGCTTGCCCAGGCTCACTTAGTTGACAAGTGGAAGGGCTGGGATGGTAACCAACATAATTCTCTGTCCAGTGTCTGTGCATTTGATGACTTCCCACTCTATACTCAAGACAAGAACTAATTTCTGGACTTTACTCAATAGCTGGCCTCAACCTAAGGATGGGGTCTAAGAACCTGAATTTGTAACATACTCCCCAGGTTTTCATGTAAAATTTGAGACTTGTTGGTTAAACACAGCATTTTTATTAAATTATGACAAGAGAGTCCTAAAACTTATGGTTTGAGATATTAAGACATTATCCAGCACTTATCATGTAGTATTTTGCTTTATCACTAATAAGGGTTACTTCACCCAGCTCTTTGCTGGCTGTAAAACAGGCAGACCTGAGTATGCCCACACTTCCCATTTAGGCCAGGGATGGCTACCTAGGTCTTATTGCAACTGCAGTGGCAGATTTGAAAGCTTATCATTAGCTCTGAAATGAAGACAGCCTACACTGGCTTCTCATACTCTCTGAGCACTGATTTTTACTCCAACAAT